TTGGGAATGTTCCACGTCCACGGTTCAACTTTGGAAATGATCATGCAGACAATGGACCCTGGACTAGGTGTGTTCCAATAAGTCTTTCTACCAATATGACCATGTTGTGAAAACAAGGTCAAACAACCAATATAGTCGATTGTTATAGCAAAAATACGTTTGCATTGTCGACAACCCCACCAAAGAATGTGATATCGTATAAAGCTTGGCCTTCCTTGAAATTCACATGTGCCCTATGACCTAAACACACTTGTGGCTATTTGGCCGACTTGTTAACGTGTCAAGCTCACATTCTGCACTTTCACGGTTTGACTTCTGCTGGGGGTGTTGATAAGACCCAGACGAGGTGAGATCGAAATTGTAGTCCACTTCAGGCTAGATGAGAACAAGTTTTGGGACATTAAGGCTATGTGAAATTCAATGGAAACGTCAGCTCTACTCATATAATTGTGGGAAAATTCTTATACCAGTCCTTCATCACCTTTAACGAAATTGGGTGAATACATCTCATACAACTGATTTACTGGTAGTCTCGAAACTCTGCTTATATACGAAAAACGATATATAATATGAATAATGCATTCTTTCCTCTACTTAATTCTACTTGGAAATTCTTTATGAGTGCTTGAATCCCACCTGAATTAGTGGGGAGCTGGTGTTCACCGCCTCGGTCATCGAAGATCTTGTGGATTGGGTTAATCCGTCACGGACTTCTTCCCGCATTCGGAGGTGAAACTTAGCTTTTGTGCCCACTCGTTCTGGGACCTTGTAAGCCTCCTTCTCCTCGCTCTGTGAACGACAGGAGTTGCAATTATTAGACTCGCCCAACGAGGGGCGCATTGGTCCGATAGACGAGCAGATCTGAGCTTGAGTCTCGCTGCTGTTTGGAGGCCTTTCTTGAGGAAGCCTTGGCAGAGACTGAGGCCCAAGCGTATCCGGCATCTTGGACAACATTTTCGACATGGTCGCCGCCTCATTAAACCTCTTCATCCGCTTCACCTCCACGACGTAGGAGCCATAGTGATTAACGAAAGAGAGGTTGACTTCTTGTCCGTCCACGGCATCACATGTACATCTACCAGAGTGAACCCTCCTGAAGGGGGCAGAGAGTGTAGGCATGCCGAGCAAAAATTGGTGTTGGCACCGAGGCAGAAGCAACTCAACTCGGCCTTGCTTAATCAGACTTTCTGCGGCCAAGGCATCCGAGAAGCTGGCAAACGCAAACCCACGGTTCCGAGCAGGCGATTGCACTCTGCTCTCCACTGCATGTTTGGTTTTCCTGCTAGAAAGTAAGGAAAATGGGAGAAGAATCTAAAATTTTCGGAACGCTTTGCCGAAAATGTGGCATAATGAAAACAGGGAAAAAATAAAAGAAATCTAGCCTAAGATATGAAGACCGAGAAGGTGTGGCCCCCGGTATGGCCGCAGTATCTTTTAGATTTCTAGAAATGGGCTGACCTCGTTGCTGCAACTTGTA